GGGGGGGGGAGGAAAAAAAAAGATGCTAAAGTTCTCACTTACTAGTCCAAAAGGGTTCGCAAGAATTGTGGTACAAGAGCCGAATTATCATGCAAGCATTCATTGTTCCACTGTCGAGATCAGAGCAAATCAAAGGTTTGATTCGATCTTGTCGTATTCTGACTCATCTTGAGGATTCACTAAATACTTTATTTTCCTCACCTATTATATTATTGGTAGGTATTAGTCTGATAGAATGATGATACAATGTTCCAGAGATTGCAATTTACATTCTCAAAATTCCTTTGCGCTACTTGAGCGTCTACATGTGATAACCCAAATAGTTTAGTTCCACGTCGATCGATTGGTGACTAAACAATTGAATGGTTTATATAGTAAAGCATGGGGTTCAAGTATAGCATCGGTTAATCGATTTTGACAGTGGTTTGAGCCGAACAACACGATACACTCTGTGAGTCCCATGGCTTACACCGCGCCAATAGGCACGCGAGCCGGGGGCGTGATAAATTGTATTAGAGCAATTTGCCAACCGGAGGTGTAGAACTAGGTGCTACATGGGGCTAAGTGGTGCACTGCGCTGTGGGAGCCACCTCTAGATCCCGTAGGAGCCACATCTAGAGCCCACGTGGCCTAGTAGTGATACCGGGATTGTTGGCCTCTTTGTTTTGATGATGTTTAACAAACAATTTACCACTAATACTGTTTGTCTAGTATTCGTGTTTCCTTATTTATTGTAGACAAACAATATGTTGGAGGACGGATGGATTGCGCTATAACGATCATATCAAATGGAGGTTGGCGGATATAGTGGTTGAAGCAATGCACATTTAAGTTGAAGATCCAAGTTCAAGCTTCATCCGCGAATTTACCAAATCAAGCTTATTGAAGATCAAGATTGCTTGGGTAATTTAGTTTAGGTTTTATATTATGTGTATTAATTAGTACTTTAAGCTCAATCATATACACACATACACATTTTGGTTTTATATATATATATATATATAGTTATATATATACATATATGTTTTGGTTTGATACTTTTTAAGTTTCAATATGAAACAATTGAATATAATTTCAAAACATGGTTACGTTTCATACTTACATGCATATATATGATTTCATCAATATCAATTTTATTTAGTCCAATGAAATCATGTTTTAGTGCATTATATGTGTATTTTGATAAAATACTATATTCATTGTTTATAGACTTCATAACAATAGTTTACATCTTTCTTCAAGTCTATAAAATTATTTTGTATTGTTTCAAAACATGGTTAAGCTAAAATGTCAAAACTCATATGTTCACATTTTTATGTTTTGGAATATTTTGAAAAATAATGATATTTTTCATCTGAGAGGTTCTTTCTAAAAACCAGTTTTTATAGCATGTGTATTATCATGTCTACAATCATTTCCCAAAGTTTTATATTTTTTGGAATTTATTTGATATTTTTAAACAGGGTTTTAAAATCAGAAAACTGTTTATAAACCTGCTATTTCATGTATCAGTTCGCGGTCGACCGTCACGGTCGACCGCGCCTATGTTTTTCCCTCAGGAGGCAGCAGAAACTTTCACAATCGACCGTGGCGGTCGACCGTCTGTTCGTAAGTTTTCACGGTCGACCGCCACGTCGTTGGGTTCCAACGGCTAGTTTCTGAGCTGTTTTCTCTTGGGCTTTTTGGTCATTTTGATTGGGTTTTTGCTGAAGTTTTGAGTGGGTATAAATACCTCATTGATCTCATCTTTCATAACAACCCAAGAAGTTTTTAAACAAGAGTTTAACAAGGGTTTAAGTTTGTTTAAAGTTTGGTTTTAAGTTTGTTTAAGGGTTTGGTTTGTGAAGAATTCCACAAGAGGAAGTGGAGATCAATTCATTGATATTTGAGCTTCAATCCATCTCTCTCTCTCTCTCTTGTCATTTATTGGAGAAGTTTTCTAAACTCTATCTAGCTTTACATTTTGTATTGTTTGATTATCATTCTATTAAGCTAGTATTTATATTTGAGTTTATTTTGATTTGATTTGATTTCACTCATTGTTTACACACACCCACTTGAGCTTATTGTATTTTCATACATAGTATATTTGGGTTGGTGAGAGTTATAACAATTGAGTGTGAGCTTTAATTGAGTTCTCGCCTTGTATTAGAGAACAAATCATTTGTTGTTATTGTGAGGTGTGGAGTGTAAACGTTGATCGGTGAACGTTGAAAACCGACATTGTGAGTGTTTGTGAACGTTGATCGGTGAGCGTTGAAAACCGATATTATGAGGTGTAAACGTTATTCGGGTGAGCATAGAAAACCCGGTTGTGATAGTGGATTTCTCCTAGGGAGTGGGGATTGGAGACGTAGGACGGAAGGTCCGAACTCCGTGATCATATCGTGCGTTTGAGTTAGCTTTGGCGTTCTATTTGTGCTTAGTGTTTATTCATTCTTATCGACATTGTCTATTGCCCTATCACATTTATAGATTGTTTATTTCACTCTTGTGTTAGTTTATATATCCTTGCATATATTTCACTATATTATCTCATTGCTAGGATATTGTTCTTTGGTTATATTGCTCATTCTTGTTTATAACATGTTGTATATCTATCTTGCAAGAATAACTTGTTAATTAGTTTTAATTGGTATAAAATCGGATTAGATTAGCATAAGACCCTAATCACCCCCTAGGGTCTAACAAGGATGTGCCGATTGTCATTGTCGCGACGAGGACGTCACATACGTAAGATGGGCTAATTGTGATAGATACCCATAAATAGTTTAGTCCCACATCAATGGGTGACTAAAAAAGACAATTGAATGGTTTATAAAGTAAAAGCATGGGGTTCAAGTGTATCATTGACTAGTCAATTTTAGTAGTGTTTTCAGCCAAACAACACGCCACACTTAGTAAGTCCCAAAACTCATAGTGCGCCACCAGGCACGCATGCTCGGGGCGTGAGATTACTAGTTCATTTCAAGTTTCAACTATCTTCCTAAAGCCAATATCAATATGTGTTCTTGTGCATGATCTTTCTCCTCAAATGGAATAATTTTCTCTTAACTTAGATTTCCTAACTCGAATCTTGACTCTAAGAATCCTTCAGTTAGATTTAACTTGGTTCAGAAACTTAAGCTATAATAGCGCAGACTCATTTCTTGTCGAAGGAAAACTCACACGCTAGCATACAATATTACCTGACATATATCAGTATGATATATTCTGTTATTACCATATTGTGATAAGAAAGGTGACTTTGATCCCAGAGGGGATCAGCGTAATAAGTAGATTGGGAAAGATTCAGGATTACATGCGCTCCTTACTCCCAGCAAGTGTGGGACTAAAAAGAACTTTCAAACCAAATACACTAGCAGATTCATCAGCCCGATCGAATAAACCGAGAATTCATTTATTGATAAACCAAAGTCGATCGGTTTTAAGTACTTCATTTGGCGACGATGACGGATTCAAAACTTTTGAATGAAATCATAGATGTGTTGAGTTACTTCATGAGGATTTTCTTGGTTGATCCAGTGCGCGACTCCAGGCATCACGACCACCTCCTCAAGCAAAGGAACATCTTGCTTGAATCCACCCTTGTGTATGTAGTCTTGGATACCGGGATAATAGTGATACACCAAATCGACATCACCGACGATGAACTTGGTTGGTACTGTGACCTGACTCCCTGTCCATGGCTCCGTCAGCTCCCAGTTTCTGTCATCCACAATGTGAGAGGTTGTTGATCTGATTCACTGTAAAAGGGATGCTTGTGGATGAAGCTAGAGTCATTGGTATCTATAGGGTATAGGATAAAATATAGTAGGCAATATGTTAAACATAGTAGAGCATGTATCTCCCAAATCCGTGTCTCTTGTATTTGCTAGTGCATATACCTATATTTGGTAGTGCATACATATTGTTATTGAGATTTTCTTTATTAAGTCTCTCATTGTGATCTGTAAATAAATGGACTTAACTTATGAATGAAATGTCAATAAAGATAAATCTAACAGTTGAAATCTCCTCTTTGATTAGTGGTTTCTTCCAGGTCAAGATATTGATCGAAGTGCCAAATACTTTTGTGTTGTTCTCTTTGCCTCCACTGGCTGTACTGATTATTTCTCTTGCGCTTCTTTGTGTTAAAATCTTGTGCTTAGGAATCTAACTGTTTGCGATAAACAATGTAAGAACATATTTACTGTATTCACTAAATTATGAAGTATTTGAAACAAACTTACAAGTCAAAATTTCGATAGTAGTTGATTGGCCCTGTAAAACCATTTTTCTCGAACTTGCTTGCATAATAGTCGATATCCTCTTCTGAGAGCCATGAAGGCAATGCAATTTGATCATCGGGCGAGACCCAACCTTCCTTGGGTATCATAAGAGGCCCTGGATCGCGAATTGCGAATAACTTTTTCATGACTAGTTTAGTGCCAATATGGGTGAATTGTTGTTCAATGTCCCCAGGTTCCTAGCACATCATAAAACTGATCACTTAGCGGAATGAACTCAACATTAGAATCATAATAAGAGGATATCATGTTTATCATAGAAAAACATGATGACTTATACAAAGGGTTATTCGATTTGCTGCGACTGGAGGTGTTACAACTGCAATTACATGTACTTGGGTTTCAGCTATTTGTTTCACTGCAACTAATAAATTCAGGTGCAAAAAGACCTATAGCTATAGTCCCTGACTTATTCAGATTAAAACATGCAAGTTGCAGCAATCATATCCAACCCCAATGGAAATATTTTTTATAAAAAAAAAAATTGATATCTCAAAACAAACAGTTGCGACTGTAACAGCATTTACAAATAGTAAAATTTTAATAACTAAATCAAGCAACTGCAACTACAACTCTAAGTGGCGACAATCGTGGCAAGTAGCATTACATTGCAATTACAATTGCAGTGAACCAAACGACCTTCAGGATTGCGATATACGAAAATAATTTGAAGAGTCAACGATGGGGAACAAGTTATACCTGAAATCTGCTGACATAGAAATCGTCCCCATAAAGAGACCTCAAGAAGTCTGTAAATTTTATGGTAGGGTTCCGAGGGAGGAAAGGCACACTGAGGTTCACCAAAGCCTTCACTTTGTCTGGCCTGAACATGCACAAATGCCATGCCACAAGTGCACCCCAATCATGGCCAACCACAAACACCTTCACAATTGCAAAGGAAATTTTGTTGTCATTGTGAAACAATTTACATAAAGACAGAGCAGTATCTTTAAATATATATATATATATATATATATAGAATCTAGTTAGGTTGAAGTGCTCTTAAATAAATAAAAAAATTGAAGGCAAAAGTAATTTATTATCACATGATTCACGTGATATTTCAAACTATTAGGAGAATAACATCGTCTGGGTGATGTAATTGCCAATAATTACATTCCCATATATAGAGCTGTCCATTTGCTAAAGGCCCGGGCCCGGCCCGGACCCGATCCAGTGCTCGCCCGGAACACCCGGGCCCACCCGGTCTACGGGCTCGGGCCGGCCCTTCGCGTCGGCGCACCACGCCGGGCCGGCCCGACCATAGAAAATGCCGTGGCTGGGTCGGGCGCGCATGCCGTACCAAAATGGTCCGTTCGGACCGCGCTCCATCGCTCCCCCTGGCAGATCAACCCGGTCTGCCGCTGGATTTTTTCTCTGCTCCCCCGGCCCCGGTTTCTATTCGATGGGACGTACCATAACAGCTAAATTTATTTTTTTACCAAAATACCCCAAAAAGGTCAAAAAGGCTAACATTTGAGGGTATTTTGGTCATTTACCTATGGGGCTGCCTCTATAAATAGAGAGGGTTTTCATTTGTTTTCCTCATCCAAAACACATCTACTTCTCCCTAATACTCTCTAATACTCACTTTTGCTCTCTAATTCTTCAATCAAATGGCTTCCTCCTCTGATTATGAAGAGCAAATTCCAACTCCCGATGTTGAAATGAGTCCTAATACTCCTAGTACAGGAGCTACAGCTACTCATACTCCTACCGATATTGATCACGAATCCGGTGGCGATGATTCTACACAAAGAGCTCCTAAAAGGCCGAGATCCGATGTGTGGAACTTCTTCGAGAAGATAGAAGTCACCAGGGATCAACGCGGTAGGCTTCTCACCCAAAAGGCTAAGTGTGCGTTGTGCGACCATATTTTCCAAGCTCATCATAAAAGCGACACCAACCACTTCAAACGCTATTTAGAGAAACACAACAAAGGTCAAGCAACACCTCAAGTTGATATTCGAAAATCTTTACTCTCTCAATCCCCATCTTCCGGTAGTCTTAGTAGTTGGAACTATGATGCAATCCGAGCCAGGAAATGCGTCATTAGGTTTATTATTCTTAAAAATATTCTTTTTAAATTAGTAGAAGATGATGAATTTAAAGATTTATTTACAGATGGTTTTTATCTCGTATTTAAAAAATTTTCTCGTCAAACTTATCAACGTGATATTTTAAAATATTATCACGAGGAACAAGCAAAAATACTTTTTTATTTTTAAAGTTTAAACTGTAAAATTTTTTAACTTCTGAAATTTGGACATCTAGAGCATAAAATGGTTATTTATGTATCATAGCACACTAGACTTATGATGCTACTATGTTATTATCTGATTGTTATTATCCAACTATTATTCAAGCTGTTTTACAAGTTTTAAATATTCAAAAAAAGTTAATAATTATTGTATGGATAATTATTTTAGAAATATGATTTTTTTAATGAAAAGTAAATTTAATAAGTATTTTAGGCCTATTTCTATTATTTTTTGTTTAGGGTTTTTATTGATCCATGTTTGAAGGACATTAGTCTTCGAAGTTTGCTAAATTCTTTGTATGATAACATGCTAAGAGACAATGATGATGGTCAAACTATTACTGCTTTACTCATCATAATACTATTAAAATTTATTTTTAAAGATTACACGATGAGTATGCAGCTAGATATGATGTAAGTACATATCAGTCTACAACTTTTGCTTCTACGAATTCAAGTCGGGGCAAAAGTATGAGTTTTGATAGGGAATTAATGATAGCTCAGCTAACTGGTGGATCTGGATCTGTATTATCAACGGAAGTTTCTAAAATTGAACAATATCTAATTGCATCGATCGGTAATGTGCCTACAAGATTGGTAGATTACGATAAGAAAATTCAAGGCATCAATCGGATGACTAGTATTAAAGATAAAATTAAAGAGTTGGGATTAGCAGATAGAGATAAAGAGTAAAGATTATTCACCAGTTTTAGTTTATAATTTTTATTTCTTAGCTAAAAATTTATGATAAATTATTTTTAAAAAAAGTTACAAATGGTAGTGATATAGATGAGTATGTGCTAACCTAATTGGGATGTATTCATCTATTGTGATGCGGCGAATTCTAAAATAAATTTATAATTGTTAGTGATTAACTGATTATTAATAAAGAATTTATTTTTATCATTTTAATTTCTATGATGTTTTGTATTTGTAAATTATATATTTACAAGTGATTAGTAATATGATTGTTTTTATCAAAATTTCGTTTAATTTTTTGCTATGTATAAATAATGTACTCTTGAAATTTTTAAAGAAAAAGAAAAAAACTGGCCTAGCCCGGTGCTCAGCTCGCTCAGCCCCGGGCCGGTCCGGTGCCCTACCCGTTCAGGCCTAAGCCAACTAGGTCTGGGTCCGGGCTCCGATTTTGCCTGGCCTGGGCCCGGTTTGTCGGGTCGGGCCGACCCGTTTGAATAGGCTTACCCATATATTAAAAGGTCAAAATTATCAGATTGATATATTTTGTTAACCCTTAGTGACACATTGGTATCATTTCTTACTCTAGCAACAATTTGATATATTATGTAGACTACGCCCCCCCTAAAAAAAAACTCTATTTTCTTTCTTTTTCTCTACTCTTATGAGGGAGGAGATGAATCTTTCAAATTTTGTAGAAATTCTCTTTGTGCATAGTGTTATTTAATTGGTTCAAATTGTTGATTTAGCTGTAATGTGGTTGATTTGTGTAAATTAGGGCTTTTCATTCCATTAAGCCATTAGTTTGCTTCTTCCATACTTTTACTTGAGCTTGACCTTGAGCAAGAGCTTGAGGATAAAGAATATAACTCCAATTTCAGTTGCCCTAATCAATTTAATGCCAAGAGGAAGAAAAAACAATAATTCTCAATTAGGACCCTAATTTTAAGCCCTAATGTTAGAAAAACCTCTTTTAGCAATTTAATTGATCCTAACTACCACCACTTTAGCAGCTACGTAGGCCATACGTGAGAATCATACAACTCAATTTTGCCAGAATTTTAGCTTCGGCCAAAATGTAGGCTAATTTATCACCGTTGTCTACATAATATATCAAGTTGTCGTCGGTGTAAAAAAATATGTCAATGTGCCACTAAGGATCAATAAAATATACCAATCTGTTAATTTTGCCATATTAAAAGGGTGGTATCTTCAGTTAATCTAAAAATAATTACAATTTTGAGAAACAGAAGGCAAGTATATCCCAATCATGAAATTAAGGGAAAATTGTGTCAATGCCCCAAAAGTAAAACCTTCATATGCTGCAGCCCTTCCACTTTTTTCCCATGTGGTTCAGCCACAAGAAATTATTGGCCTTCTTGTTTTGATGATGATTTAACAAACAATCTACATCTAATATTGTTTGTCTAGTATTTGTATTTTGTTATTTATTATAGACAAACAATATGTTAGAGGATGAATGGAATTGCGCATTCACGATCATATCCAATGGAGGTTAGCGAAATTGTATAGTGAAGCCTACGCAATTCAAATTAAAGATCCAAGTTCTAACTTCATCCGCAAGTGTACCAAGTTGAGCTACATCGAAGATCAATCAAACTTAGGTATATTTAGTTTAGGTTTTATATTATGTGTGTTAGTACTTTAAGCTCAATCATATATACACACGCATATTTGGTTTTTATATATATAGTTATATATATACACAAGTTTTGGTTTATGGACTTAACAATCATTATATACATATTTCATTAAGTCTATAAAATTATTTCATAGGGTTTCAAAACATTGTTTATGTCAAAACATCAAATTTCATGTATATCACATTTTTATATTTTGGACACACTTGCAAAATACATGAGTTTTCACAAATAAGAAATTCAATTTGAGAAATTCTTTTTCTGACATGTTCAATTTCATGTTTATAAATGTTTTTCAAAGTTTTATCAATTTTGGAATTAATTTGTTATGTTTATTTGAATTTACAAAATCAAGTTTTAAATAAGCTCATGTTCGTGCATATGTTCGTGCATGTTTTTACAAAACAGATGCGTTTTCACAATTGGGAAATACGATTTAAAAAATTTCTTCGTTTACATGTTTATTATCATATATACAAACATTTTTCCAAGTTTTACTAATTTTGGAGTTGTTTTGTTATGTTCAATTGAATTTACAAAACCAAGTTTTTAGCAGTTTTTTTAGAAACTGTATATCTATGTTTAAACAGTTATTTATCTCAACTGGTAAATGATATTTTAGAAATTCTTTCTCTAACATGTTTATCTACATGTCTAGAATCTTCCTTCAAAATTTCATAATTTTTGGAGTTGATTTACTATTTTTAATTGATTTTATAAAGTCAGATATACAAAATTCTAGAATCTGTCAAAAACAGAAACTATCTGTGAACAGTACTCTCGATCGTGCTACAGTATAGTCGACCACCATTACTGTAGCGGTCAACCATTGCACAGTAATGATAACATCTGTTTTTTATTTTTAATGGGTTTTTGGGATTTTTTGGGTTGTTTTCTTCTTCCCTATATATACCCCTTTTTCATAACTATTTTCTACAACCAAGAGATGTTTTAAAAGAGTTTAATAAGGATTTAAGCTTGTTTTGTGTTTGTTTAAAAGAGTGTTTAAGAGTTTGTTTGTGAAAAAAATTTACAAGAGTTTGAGGAGATCATCAATCTTGTTTGGGCTTCAATCTACATCCCTCCACTCTTGTTTTAGAGAAGTTTTCTTAAACTCTTTATCTAGCTTATTTATGCTTAACTTGTGATATTTATTTTGCTAGATTAAATTAAGTTTAGACTTGTTTTGATTTATCTCTTTGTTCACACACAACCTATTGAGCTTATTGTATTTATATTCATAGTATAATTTAGGGTTGTGGGTTTGTGACTAAGAGTTGTGCTTAATTGAGTTCTTATTTATATTCATAGTATAATTTAGGGTTGTGGGTTTGTGACTAAGAGTTGTGCTTAATTGAGTTCTCACAATGTTTAGAGAACAATCATTTGATTTGTGAGCTTTGAATTGTGAAGTTTTCGGTGAACTAGAAAACCGAGTGTGAGGTGTGGACGTTGATCGGTGAGCGTTGAAAACCGACATTATGAGGTGTAAACGTTATTCGGGTAACCGTAGAAAACCCGGTTATGATAGTGGATTTCTCCCCGGGAGTGGAGAGCGGAGACGTAGGACGGAAGGTCCGAACTCCGTGATCGTATTGTGTGTTTGTATTGTTTATTTGCACACTATCACTCTTGTTTTGTTTATGTTTATTTCACCCTTGTGTTAAGTTGTATATCCTCGCATATATCTCATAGTATATCTCATTGCTAGGATATTTTCCTTTGTTCATATTGTATATTCTTGCTCATATCATATTGTATATCTATCTTGCAAGAATAATATTTAAATTAGTTTTAATTGGCATAAAATCGGATTAGATTAGCATAAGACCCTAATCACCCCCCTCCCCTCTAGGGTCTAACAGAAATATCACATCATGTGCTACATCCCCTTTTTATGTAATTATCATGCCAACTAAGCACAAAGAGAGAGAAACAAACATAAAAGCCCAAAATACTCTTATTTCCTCCTCCCTCTTTGTTCTCTCCAGATCTATCATGTTAGGTCTAGTTTGATTCATGTTAAGTCTAATTTAATTTTTTTTAAGTCTAATTTAAATCATGTTAAGTCTAATTTAATGTTTTAGGTCTAAAAATAAGTTGAATTTAGAGTTAACATGAATCATGTTAAGTCTAATTTAACTGTTTTAAGTCTAATTTTATGTTAAGTCTAATTTGATTCATATTAAGTCCAGTTTGATTCAACTTAATTTAAGTCTAAAAATAAGTTGAAATAGACTTAACATGGAATCATGTTAAGTCTATTTCAACTTATTTTAAGTCTAATTTTATGTTAAGTCCAATTTTACTTCATGTTAAAGCCAATTTGATTCATGTTAAATCTAATATAGTTCCTTTTAAGTCTAATTTTAATCCAGTTTAGTGCTAAGTCCAGTTTAGTTCATGTTAAGTCCAGTTTCATTCGTATTAAATCCAGTTTGATTCGTGTTAAGTCCAATTTGGTTCATGTTAAGTCCACTTTAAATCATTTTTAGTCTAATCTAAATCGTTTTAAATCTAATTTAAATCTTGTTAAGTCTAAATTAAATCATTTTAAATCTAATTTAAATTGGACGTGACATAAAATTAGACTTAAAATAAAATGAATAGACTTAACATGGATTATATGTTAAATCTAATTCGGGTCATATTAAGTCCAATCCGGTTAATGTTAAGTCTAATTTAAATCATGTTAAGTCCAATTCGGTTCATGTTAAGTCCAATTTCATTTTATGTTAAGTCCAACCTAAATCATGTTAAGTTGTGACACCCCCACACTTTAGTCCCACATAGACTAGTGTGAAGAAATACTAGTGGTTTATAAAGAGAAAAGCCTAAGGCCCAAGAACAACTAGTACTTACATTTTAGCACTTGACATTAGCCAATATCGAGTTGCTCCCGGTGGGTCCTATGGCTTGCACGCGCCAGCGGGCCCGTGGGCCAAGGGCGTGATATAAGTCCAATTTGGTTCATGTTAAGTCCAATTTGGTTTATATTAAGTCTAATTTAAATCATACTAAGTCTAATTCAACTAGTTTTAAGTCTAATTTTATGTTAAATCCAATTTAGTTCATGTTAAGTCTAATTTACTTCCTTTTAAGTCTAACTTAAATAATGTTATGTCTAATTCAACTTGTTTTAAGTCTAAAAACAAATTGAATTAGACTTAACATGAATCACATTAAGTCTAATTCAACTTCTTTTAAGTCTAATTTCATATTAAGTTCAATTTGATTCATGTTAAATCTAATTTGGTTCATGTTAAGTCTAATTCGATTCATGTTAAATCTAATTTAGTTCTTTTTAAGTTTAATTTATATCATCTTGTGTCTAATTTAATTTATTTTAAGTCTAAAAACAAGTTGAATTACACTTAACATGAATCATGTCAAGTCTATTTCTACTTATTTTAAGTTTAATTTCAATCATGTTAAATTCCTTTTTAAGTCTAATTTAAATCATGTTAAGTCTAATTCAACTTTTTAATTAAGTCTAATTTCATATTAAGTCCAATTAAAATATAATTAAAATAAGTTAAATTAGACATAACATGATTTAAATTAATCTTAAAAGGAATTAAATTAGACTTAACATGAATTAAATTGGACTTAACATGAAATTAGACTAAAAACAAGTTGAATTAGACTTAACATGAATTAAATTAGACTTAAAACAAGTTGAATTAAACATAACATGATTTAAATTAGACTTAAAAGGAATTAAGTTAGACTTAACATGAATTAAATTGAACTTAATATGAAATTAGACTTTCATGTTAAGTCTAATTCAACTTGCTTTTAGAGTTAACATGAAAGAATAGAAGAGATAAGGGCATTTTGGGGTTTTTTATTTTTTATTCTCTCTATGCTTAGTTGGCAGGTAATAATTGCTAAAGAATGGCTACAGAACATATATCTCTAATTTAAGGGCTCAAACGCATGGGAAAAAGTCAAAGGGGTTGCAGCACATGAAGTTTTGGCTTTTGGGGGCATTGACACAATTTTCGCTAAAATCGATGTCCAATAACATACAAATGCAAAAATTACTGCCTGACAATGTACATAAAAGAAAAAAAAAGTCAGGGTATCACACAAATGACACAGTCCTCCGTGCATACAAGATATCATATCACATAGATCTGGCTATATTTTACACTAGTTGTTAGCTACCTAATACAACTCTCCTCGTTTATCCTGACTTGAAACAAGCATATATATATAATATATATATATATATAATTTATATATATTAATAGTATCATATATATAATATATATTATATAGGATTGAAAACTATCGTAGTCACTTAAGTGGTAGGGATAAGTGTGTCACCAATTTTTATACACTTGCATATTGCCTAGGGATCCTTGTATATATAAAAAATATTTATATTAATAAATGATGGTAGAAACTTTAGTGCATAAATAAGTTGATAGCAGTCTTGCTAATATATATATTATATATAGTATATATATATATATATATATATATATATATTTATATATATATATATTATTATATATATATATATTATATATATATATATCCATATATATATAAGATTATGGTATCATATGTCATATGAGAGGATTTCTATATCAATTGATGTGCACAATTCTCCACCAATGTGAATAACAGTAGGAGAGGAATGCCTCATAATACATTGGTGGAGATTTGTGCACATCATTGGTATATGAGAGATCTGTCATATGAAATATGATACCCATTAATCTCTCTCTCTCTCTCTCTATATATATAACATATATGAATATATATATATGTATATATAAGTTAGATTAATATCTTGTCATAGGAGGAGATTTCCTCCTTGACGCCTTAAAATCACAATGATCGGCTGGACATTTGTGATGATCGCTCCCGTTGGAAATTAACTAACATATCTAAACCCACACACACAGTTTGGGGTGAAACGTCGTCGTTTGCCACATTATCCATACGTATCAATTTTACGGTTTTTGAATGATGAGAACTTTTCACATGGTGATGGAGGGTAAACGACTGACGGATTCACCCAAAACTTGGTATGCTGTTATGGGTTAGAAATATGAGATCAATTTAACGGAGGCGGATCATCCACAATGTCGCTTAATTCATGTGGATTTAGAGGCTGTCAGGAGGAAATCCTCCTATGACAAGGTATACCCATTAAGTATATATATATAATATACTATAATATATTATATATATATTATTAATATATATTATATATATAATAATATATGGGTATGCTTGGTACCAAGCATAAATTTTGTGCTTAGTAGTGATGTATCACATCCCCATCTACTCATTACCCATGTGAATGTGGTCCTACATTTGAATGAGTGAAGAGAGATGTGACACCTCACTACTAAGCATAACTTTTTATGCTTGGTACTAAGCATACCCATATTTCTCTCATATATATATATATAACATAAAAGCACGATACACTACGCCCGAACTTACTTTATCCTGACCAAGCGCATCAATAAGAGCAACAAGATCACCAACAAGATGAAAAATGCTGTAAGCAGCAACCACACTAGGGTTATCACTGTCCCCGTAGCCTCGAAGATCCGGCGCCACCGCCCGGTACCCTTTTCCGGCGAGGCCGAGGATCTGATGGCGCCAAGAGTACCAGAGCTCTGGGAAGCCGTGGAGGAGGAGGACAGTGGGGCCCTCCCCTTTCTCTGCCACGTGGAGCTTGATCCCATTCACGTCCATTGTCTGGTGAACTATTCCTTCCATTTTTTGACCAGCTGAGTTGAGTTTGGAGATGAGAGTCTGGGTTTGTGATTTGTGATATGAGTTAGTGGGCAGGTTTTTGATGAATTTGTTTGATTCTTTTTGCCTTGGGATGATTGATCATGGTCTTCTTGTTGTGTGATTTGTTGTCTGTCTTTATGTACACTTGCTCTTGTCATGTTCAAAAGGGTTGGAAGAGAAATGATGCTGATACGTGTGGATAAGGATCAAGTTGTAAGGTGCATGTGAGGATCAAGAGTATAATATTTCACCTTATTTTTTTTAAGAGTAAACGGGGCCTAGTATTTTTTTTTTTTTTTTGGGTGCGCATTTCTTTTTTCTTAAAAACACTAAAAAATATTTATGACACTAATCATTCAATAATTAAAGACTTTTTTAGAGAAAAGAGCCATTTTTTCTTAAAAACACTAAAAAAGATTTATGACACTAATCATTCAATAATTAAAGATTTTTTTAGAGAAAAGAACATTGTAATAGCCTAAGTAATTAGTGCCTTATAATTGGATTAATGAAAAAAAATTAATTAAAATACAGATTAGGGAAAACTAATTAGGGATTTCTTTAGAATTTCACCCCCCAACTCTTGTTTAACTGCGCGCCATGTTAGTGCTTTAATGGCTAAAAGTCATTTGATGTTTGGGGAGGCACCTCCTCAACAGAGGGATAAAACTGAGAAAAAATCAAAGAAAACCCACAAAAAAAAGAAAAAAAAGAAAAAGAAAACGAAGAATACCCTCTCATCCTCATCAAAACTCTCTGGGATCAATAGAAAGCTTGTGAAGGGAAAAAAGAAGACCAAGGCAACAAATCGATATCCCAATCAATTGAGGTATAACCCACTTTTAAATTTCATAGTAAGTTTTAGTAATTTGAATCAAAATAGAATGAGTGAGGATGATAACTTGTTATGATTATGAAATTAAAAACTAGGATTTGCAAAAAGAAACAAATTTTTATGTGTTTAAGACATATGTGATGGACTGAAAAAATACTAACCCTTAGATCCGGCAGGGGTCTTACCGTTGGCAGCTCTTGGTCGTCGACGATTCCTGTCGTCGTCCTATCGTCATGGAGAGAGAGAGAGAGAGAGAGAGAGAGAGAGAGAGAGGCCTCAAACGGTCCAGCCGAAAAAAGAGAATGAGGAAACAGAACAATAAGAAGAGGAAAATGAAGAATCGGGTAGCAGGAGAATAAGATAAGGAGGAGAAGGAAAATATCCATTTCACCATTGGCTTACAAAATAATTTCATAATAAGCTCACCTAGCTCATTGAGCACAAGTTATGGCTAGGAAAAATTCCCTTAAGTCCCTGAGCCGTGTGAGAATTTCGAACAGACCTAAGTAAAATGAATTATGATTTGAAAAAGGACTGGAAAATCTCTGTTAGGCCCCTGTCATTTACTCAGTTTGCAAACAAGTTCAATCTGAAGAATAAATGATAACTTTTAGACTTGATAAATTTCCTATAACACTCTGACTTATAATAAATTATTAGGAAGTCCAAAAGCTAGTATATGAGAGTTAAAAAAATCTTGATAAATTGCTAAAGTTGGCAATAAGCTTATTTGTACCCTAGATTTTAATTATTATTGATTATATTTGAATTTATTTGGCTCTAGGTTATGAATTAATTTACCTATAATATATGTTTGTCCTGAATTAATAATTAGTCTTCTATCTTATATTATAGGATCTGGTTGATATCCAGGGGAATAATATTTTGGGAAAGTCGTGTCCACTAGAGGTGAGTTCATTTCTCATTAGTATTTTATAATATGAAATTTCATGAGTATTATATTTGATTTATCTTGTAATCGAAAAATAAATAATATATCATTTTCATATATATAAAGTTAAAAGGTGATTTGATCTACTTCTGTTGTGGCCTAAGCCATAAATACGATGTTGATTTCGTACAATATATGAAAAATCAATTTGATTGTATATGAACTATGAAAAGTGAATTTGGTTCTTATGTGATTTCAAATAATTGTGGGAATTTCTTTTTTTGAAAGATTTTTAAGAAAAAAAAATATTTTGAACGTGTTTCAACGGTTTAATAGATTCAAAGATTTTCTGTGACTTAGTATCTAATAAAAAATAAAGAAAAGTGAAATCCGTAAACTGTTTTATTTGGGATGAGGAGTATTACCCTTGTCCACTTCATTTAAAAATATCTGTAAATTTTGATGCAAAGGTTACTCATTTGACAAGTGATTCTCTATATTTTTAAACCCTCAAAAAGTCCACTATGAAGTGATTATGCCTGCCATATGGTGAATGCACCTTTATTTGGCCCTTCTGTATTGGCCCTTCTATATTGGCCCTTCTAAAATTTGGTCTGGCCCCTCTGTAGTTGGCCAGTAACCTATGGTAGTGTTAGGTGCATTCGATTCTCGAGAATTATCTGTTATGTGATGCGTTTTACGCATTCTCATGCTACTGGGCTATAATTCGTAGCCTTAGTGTGACCTATGAGGTGACTTTCACATTCACGAATAACTCATCGAGAATTAATGTCATACCCCGGTTCCTAAAATATCGGGGAATCGGAACGTGAACAAGCCCGCGACGTATTAGATTGAGGAGAATAAATAAAAATAAACATTTCTTCTCAACCTAATACGCTAAGCGTCAAGCAATATAAAGCGAAGTCACAGGTCCCCGATCATAATTAGCAAGAACATAATAAACAACTCAGAATAAAGAAACGTCATATCACAAATGGGATAACATCCGAGACATAAAGTCTGGTTCAAACATGCCCTTATTACAAAACAGTCTAAATAAGTACTAAAAAAATATGAAAATACATCGTTCAACAGGAATAGAAAGGAAGTACTGTAAAAAAAATAAACTAAGGAGCATCAAATAACTAAGGAAATAGCTAAGCTTCAACTTGTTCTTCTGCTCCGTCTGCAAGGCACTCCTGCTGAGAATATCCTGGCTTTGGCACATCTCCAAGTTGAACATGTTCGTCCTCTAAATCTGACATACACCAGAAAAAATAGGTATATGTCAGCGTGCATGGCACATGACAAGACCCCAAATATGGTGAATGCACCTTTATTTGGCCCTTCTGTATTGGCCCTTCTATATTGGCCCTTCTAAAATTTGGTCTGGCCCCTCTGTATTTGGCCAGTAACCTATGGTACTGTTAGGTGCATTCGATTCTCGAGAATTATCTGTTATGTGATGCGTTTTACGCATTCTCATGCTACTGGGCTATAATTCGTAGCCTTAGTGTGACCTATGAGGTGACTTTCACATTCACGAATAACTCATCGAGAATTAATGTCATACCCCGGTTCCTAAAATACTATGAGGTGACTTTCACATTCACGAATAACTCATCGAGAATTAATGTCATACCCCGGTTCCTAAAATACCGGGGAATCGAAACGTGAACAAGCCTGCGACATATTAGATTGAGGAGAATAAATAAAAATAAACATTTCTTCTCAACCTAATACGCTAAGCGTCAAGCAATATAAAGCGAAGTCACAGGTCCCCGATCATAATTAGCAAGAACATAATAAACAACTCAGAATAAAGAAACGTCATATCACAAATGGGATAACATCCGAGACATAAAGTCTGGATCAAACATGCCCTTATTACAAAACAGTCTAAATAAGTACTAAAAAAATATGAAAATACATCGTTCAACATGAATAGAAAGGAAGTACTGTAAAAAAATAAACTAAGGAGCATCAAATAACTAAGGAAATAGCTAAGCTTCAACTTGTTCTTTTGCTCCGTCTGCAAGGCACTCCTGCTGAGAATATCCTGGCTTTGGCACATCTCCAAGCTGAACATGTTCGTCCTCTAAATCTGACATACACCAGAAAAAATAGGTATACGTCAGCATGCATGGCACATGACAAGACCCCACAAAAGAAAATAGAAACGATTGAATGACCAACACAAAAATCGTTGCAACAACAGAAATGAAATAGAACGTGCAATTGGAAATCTAACAAATCAAAATACAATCCACCACTAGAGTATAACAATCAGAAGAATCCATAAACATCCGAGTAACAAGATTATACAACTAGACAGAATTAATACTTAGAAATCTACAACAAGAGACGTAGTACGTCGAGTGAAATAATCCAAACAAGAAAACCCTCATGTATATACCACATGTCTCAAATTATAGATAATTAAATATTAACTCTGATCTATATATGAAAAGAAATATAACTGACCTACATCTCACAAGAATTCATACTTAGCCAAGAAACGATGTCATGTAACTAGCCATCCTAAAACAGGTCAATGGTCCACATCTCACATAGAGTTAACGTTCATATTACCGGATAACTGACTGTTCACAAATCCCATACGTGCATCCAATCCCGCTACACATGCGGCCAGAGGACTACACGTAAACCGTTTTCTACATGGTCCGAACTCAAGCAAAACTCGGGTGACGGAATAAATCCGCACTGACTAAAGTGATGTACACACTTCACTTTAGCCCTAAAAACCAACCCCAGTGACGACACTAACCACTGGTACGAGCCTAGAAGATACATCAACAGCCACATCCGATCACATGAACAAAGACTTCCCTATCCCAACTCTTCTCGCTTTTCTAAGTCAACAACATAATCCACACTAGATCTTTGGTTCACCTCCTAAATTCAGTCAACGTACCCACACATGTCACTAAGTCTGTTCATGACGCACGAGGCCTCTAAGTCATGAACTACTAATGGTTCTCAAACAATATAAGAAAATAATAATTGAAAACAATCAATCATGTACAACGTTATCATGACATGTCAAATATATTAAATTTAAGAATCATAAATCATAAAATTGTTCTAAAATTAATCTTCTAAAATAATAAATTTATTTACTTAAAATAATCATTTTCCAAAATAAATTCATTTAAATATTTATTATTATAATAAAATTATTCTTTTTCCAAAATAACTTCTTATAATTTATCATAATTTTCCTTAAATGATTTTGTTGCCAGAAATAATTCTTTTAAAATATTATAATTAATTTAAAAATACTACTTATCATATTTATTATAAAACCAACCCTTTTTACAAAATAAATTTCTTTAAATAAATTCTTTAATCTATTATAATTATTCTGAAAATACTATTTATCACATAATTATGATTTATTTAATCACAAATTAACATAAGCAGATAATTCACAATTTC